AAAGTGATGTCATCATAAACCTGTCTTACCCACAACTCAATGCGGATTTATTAGCGACGTATTTCAAGAATCTGGCGGAAGAGGTATCATTGCCAAACCTAAAAAGACCATTTCACAAGGTAATAATAAAGTGATATCTAAAATAAAAGCAATATTGTGATGAAATTTGTTTGGGGTGATGTCACTGGGGAAATAGTTTCTTCTATTGATGAAGCAAGACTTTGTGTTAAGGTAACAGAAATTCATCTTGGTGATGTTTGCTTGTTTATACTTCTTACACTGTAAATTTGTACTGCGTGAATTAAAGAAATATGAGCAGTTTATTTTGGTCCTCTGAATCCTGTATAAAATCCTTTTTATGTTTTTTTTTAAGTTCACTTGGGGTATATTTAATCAAAAAAACCCTATATGATATATAATTATATATGTGCAATTATTCATATGATGAAGTTATGCAAGAATAAGATATGCAATGAAGATCTTGTTCAAATTAAATTCACATGAATTACAAGACAAAGTAGCAAAACAAATGTTGAAGTGTCAATAATTTTGCAATAAATACAATAGGCTGTCTAGCATGGAGACTACATGTACATTTTGACACCAGGGAGATGTAAATACAGATTTGTCAGATAAACAGAGAGTTTATGTTGCTGGCAAACATGATAAATAAACATATTTTCATCTAAAAAAATATACCGTATTTATCCGGGTATAAGCCCAGGGTCCTGAACATGGAAAATCACCAAAAAGAAGGGGTGGGCGTTTGTCCGGATATCCCCGGCAAAAAAACAAAAAAACTGAGACAGGGAGTAAAACGGCAAATAAAAACATGCAACAAAAATAAATGAACAATATGCAGCATTAGAAGTGTAACAAGAAATAATTTATTGCTTAGAATGTGACAAATATTAAAACCAGAAATAATAAAAATGTGAAGATTCATTTGAATTAGAATATCCCCGTCGACAAACACGCCGCCCCATGCACGTAAATTATCTCCGGTTTTGACTAATACCGGATCAACAGCCATACAAGATCAATAATAATTTACGCAGTAAAATTACGAAAGTTCATAGTTGTTAGAAAAAACCCCCATCTGTACGTTTATTGCTATCTTCGTAAAAGTCAAAACCCTGAAATTCCAAGTCGGAGCCACTGTCGCGATTGAACAAAATCCCTATAGCTTCGTCTTGGAGTTTGTCGATGTCGTCCCACACATTTTGGACTTAGCACATTTAATCCACGGATTTCGCTGTCTGGTAGCTTGGCACTTTTAATTCACGTCTAAAGAGACAAGAAAAATGGGGTCGCGGCAAATGACTCGCATGATGCTTTTGTTTACCAAATAAATATTTAATCACAATTAATTTGTTATTTTACCTTGATAAAAATGTTTTGACTGCTTTTGTTAAATTTGTTGCCAAATGCTTGCAAAAAATAATCTGGAAAAGCGTTTTTTGCTCATGATTCATCATTAAAAAATTAGAACAAATTCTGTTTTTTTTATTTTTGGAGTAGACTTCTATGTATTCCATTAATCCTAATAACAGATAACACATGCACTCTGGTGTATAACAATTGAAATTTTAAATGTTATCCTATATATATTATTATATCTAGTTTTTGTATGTGTAATTTTTTTTTTTGGCTTATGACCTTTTCTTCACCTTAAAAATAAATATATATATGATTAAAATCTGATCAGATATTGATCACTATCATGTTTTACTATCTTTTAGGTTGTTATTGCTTTGATTTTTTGTTTACGAACAGAATAGAACCAGTAATATACCCTAATTTTTATTTAAATTATCTTACAAATGTGCTATTTTTGGTAGTTTATTGGGCGAGGGGGTACTTTTTTCATCAAAATCTTACAAGCCTGGGGAGTCCTAGGGAGTGGCATTCTGGGTAATATTCAACATGGCAGATAGTAGGTTCACTTTTAATTTTGGGTCTTATATATATTCTGTAAAACATGTCAGCATAATATTTTACCTAATTTAGGTAATGTATAATTCGGCTCATTCAAGATTTTAGCTAATTTAAAAGAAAGTATGTTTTCACGATTGAGAATTTTTACACTTTAGCTAAATTGGGATTCTGTTTATTCATGCAATGAGCCAAGTTTGCTAAAATTTGCATGCAGTGTTTTACAGTTATAAATAGTTATTATCACATAGGATTTATGTAGATTGATGAAAGCGTACGTAATATTCATAGCAAATATTTTGATTGTTTTTGTTAGTTAATCTATCAATTTTAACCATGCCTTAATGCTTATGAATGATATTAGTACTTCTTTTTACCTGTCTACATCATAGCAATGTTTTATGTGTATGTAACTTGAAAAGGAGACTACTAATTGGACAGTGTGCATGTTTGTGTTTTGCCAACTATTTGAAGAGTATGTATTGATTATACATTGCATTACATGGCTGATCACTACCAGTTATTTTTATTTTACCACCATGTAAAATCTGAACTGAACATAGATAACAGGAAATTGAATTTACTGATTTCAATGCTATTGGTAACTACAGTAATTCTGATTTGAATAATCCAAAGAAACATTATTGCAATATTTATTCTTGTGTTAGGGTCATTGTGAGGTCAGACAGTCCAAAAAAAAAAAAAATTGAGCAAACATTGTAAAAATACTGTCAATAACTCGTGTGTGGCAGAGTTGTCATGGTATAGGATTTGCGATACCATCTGTTTTCACATTATAGGTGACAAACCACTCGCAGGCAGTGTTGCCATAGTAACAGGGGCATCTAGTGGTATTGGAGCAGCTGTAGCAAAGCATCTTGCAGAGGCTGGTGCAATGGTTGCTATGGCAGCAAGAAGAGTTGACAAGTTAAATGAGATACAGGAATCCATTGAGAAAGGTGGTGGTGTTGCTATTGCAGTTAAAACTGACGTCTGTAACAAAGACGAGGTGAAACAATAATTATGATTATTTTTCCATATCAATACATTGATAGCTATGCTACTTTTTGTGTTATAAAAAATCATTATTTTACTGTTCTCGGGAGCGAACATTTGGGCATTTTTATCGCCTGGCAACTAGAACCCATGAAAACAACAAAAAACTCTCAAAAAACAGTACTTTGGGCTTGTTGTTGAGACTGTCTTGAACAGTGTAACAAGATTAACCCTACATGAGCAGCATATATAAATTTAATTGCTCGGAATTAAGTAATTCAAAGTTGAGTTTGTGCAGATTTCTCTACTTTCGCTGTTTTCACCAACTTTTTTACTGGCGCTCCACGACATCACGCACAGAGCCCATTTAAATACGTGGTACAGTGGTGCATGTCATAGCAACGCGGATTATAATATATTTTGCTCACAGTCTCACCAGCTTACTATTATGTTGAAGACCACACTCAAATTATCATAAATATATACATTTATTCATTTTTCTATTTATTTATTTATTTATTTATTTATTTATTTATTTATTTATTTATTTATTTATTTATTTATTTATTTATTTATTTATTTATTTATCTGTTCGTTCGTCTGTTTATTTTGTTATTCTTATGTTACCTTATTTGTTTATAGGTGAAAGCATTGGTTAAGCACACTGAATCAACTCTTGGTCCTGTTGATATTATAGTGAATAATGCTGGTGTTATGTATTATACTTTGATGAAAAATCTAAATGAAGACCAGTGGGAGAGAACTATTGATGTTAACTGCAAGGTACAAAAACATTAATTATACTAGCTACTAGGATCTATAATGTGTGTCATGTTACATCCTCTTATCTTATCTTATCTGAGCTGAGCTGAGCTGACCTGACATGACCTGACCTGACCTGACCTGACCTGACCTGACCTGAGCTGAGCTGAGCTGACCAGAGCTGAGCTGAGCTGAATTGAGCTGAGCTGACCTGACCTGAGTTGAGCTGAGCTGACTAGAGCTAGGCTGAGCTGACCTGAGCTGACCATACCTAGGCTGAGCTGACCTGAGCTGACCTGAGCTGACCTGAGCTGACCTGAACTGAGCTGAGCTGAGCTGAGCTGAGCTGAGCTGAGCTGAGCTGAGCTGAGCTGATAGGAAAACATACAATATTTGATAATGCAAACTGGATACATCAAGACTGTTCTTTTCTTTGCTTACATGTGTAGGGTGTTGTAAATGGTGTTGGTGCTGTATTATCTGGGATGATATCGAGAGGCAAAGGACATATCGTCAACATGTCATCAAATGCTGGCAGACGGGTAAGATATTAATGCATCTTTCTGAATTGAATAGTAGTATGTTCAACAACGAGCTGTCAAAAGTACATAACTAAATTGTTGCAACAATCATTTCAAATTTTTGAATAACTAGAATGATTAAACATGTACAATTGGGTCACCTTATTCGTCCCTGTACAGACACAATCCTGAAATTGAGGCTCATGTATTGTGATGGTATTTCATCCATCCTCACGCTTGCAGATTTGATTGTACATGCATGTATGCAGGCAATTTGAGCCAAGACTATCAACTATCAGCCATTTCTAGTCACTGTTTGGAGGTAAATCGAAAACGGGGACTGATGATTAATTCAAATTTCACACACATGCGTTGTTTCATGATCCTATTCAAGATGGCAGAATATTTTAGTGCTATAATTCATGCCATTTCTCCAGATGTTTTTCAGTCGATCATCATTTGACAAAAGTCAAACTTGATGTTTTCACCCATGCATGTTGTTGCTGACAGTGTTTTGTTGTTACAGGCATTTCCAGGTTTGGCTGTATACAGTGGAACTAAGTTCTTTGTTGAGGCCATGTCATCTGCATTGAGACAAGAACTGATTGGAACCGGTGTAAAAGTGACAACCATTCAACCAGGGGATGTAAAAACTGATCTTGCAGCTGAGAATACAGATAAAGAGGTAAGATTTTACCTTGTGTCAGTGAATATAAAACTGAATTTAATTTGTACATTTTGTTCAGAATTAATAAAAAAAATTACACACAAATACATATAAATGTTATAGCATTCAGGGTGTAACTGTCACTGACCATCTCAATGTTTTATTTTTAATTTTTAGGCCATAGAGAAATATGACATGAGTTCAACTTATGATACACTGCAAGCAGCAGACATTGGTAGAGCTGTGGTATATGCAGTTTCTCAACCCCCATATGTAGGTGTCAATGAAATCCTCATAGAACCAAGAGAAGGTCCTGCTGTATGAATGTGAGGCAATTATAATACATAAACAGATTTTGTTTATTACATGAAACAAACATTCAACAGAAAATTACAGGTGCTATATATAATAAATTATCCCGCTGTTTTGCCATGGGAAAGAAGCAATTCTGTGAAGTAAAAGGTGATATTGTCACTATTTTTTTCGATAGATCAATCAGTTTGTTGAAAGATTTACTATATTAGTGGCGAATGACATCTACATGTTCAGGTCCATTTACAATACTTACAACCATCTACATCACAGACTTGCTTTGTCAGTATAAACTGCATGACTATATTATTTATTCCTTATATTGTAATGAGATGTCCTTATCACATAGCATTTTGATATTCCAGTGTTGTTGGTAGAATGATCGTGTATGTCAATTTTTTTATCCCAGTACAGTAGTTTGTAAATTAGTTCTTCTGAAAGGTTATTGGTGGGATGTTAAAAATTCATCAAAACTAAGCATTTCTGCAATTCTGGAACCAGATTTTGGTCATGTATGGATATTTCAGTCAAACTTAGTACAAACATTTGACAATACAGGATCCCAGATGCACTTCAGTTTTTTTGGATTGTATTTAAAATGGCTGACTAGTGCCCATGTTGTTTTTATTGGATGGTTACATTGTGACGTCATGAAATTAAAACAAAATATCTATGAATTTAATTTATGTCACCATTCAATCCACCAATGGACAGCTCAGTTAATTTTGAATGTACTTATTTTATTTTTATTTTAATTGAAAACTTATGTACTTTGCAACGTTGTCAAGGGTGATGGCAATTATATCTTAGTATGCCTGGAATGGAACAACTACTGAATAAATATGGCCATGAAAACCATCACTCTTTTATTGTGTGCATAAAAAACAAGAATTCTTCATTCCAGTTGTAGGTACATGTATATATAATGGTTCGAAATTGGCAATTGTCTGGTTGCCACCAACAACTCTTTTCACCGTGGGATAACCAAATCTTGAAACTGGTTGAGAATATAATATTTTTTTTTTTTAAAGAAATCTCTATATTTTCATGGAATACATGTGGATATACTGGTAGACCAGTAATTTATAATATTAAAAAATCAAAAAAAATTATTCAACAACATTTTTATGTGAACAGCCATTTTTTTCATAGTGGTTACAAGGTATTTTTTTGTGTATACGCAGTATAATTAGATATCTTCTCAAAGGTTATTTGCATATTGCTCTGCAGTATACCCTGATAATACAATATAATGGTAATATTATCAATGCTGCTGAGACAAGAGAAGTGTGTTTTGTACTATTTACATTCACGTACATAGTATCAGTTTATTGACTTATCACAAAGCAGGGTGAGAAAAAGGCATTATTCAGGAAAATATTATAAGGTATTGTGGTGATATAATATATATCATATTGTTACATTGTGAATGATTTGTATCTTGTGCAATAAATTAAGATGATAGTAATAAATAATTGTCATGACAGTATATTTTTGTTGGCATGTACTAACATCTATCATTTTCACCCACTGTGGCCATTTATGACGTGGACACCCGCTTTGGCCATCCCATAATATTGTTCAGATAAGCGTGGCATCATGGGTAAAATGCATTTCGGAGATGGCAGTATGTAATGGTGAGATCTCTGTGCAGTTGCATGTTTTGAAATAATTGTTTAAAATTACATCACATTATTTTAACTTAACTGTATTCAGTATGAAATAATTTGAATTAAAATAAAATATTACCAGATAAAAACAGCAGAACATTTTGGTAAATGCTTTGCTTCTGAGGGCGCTCATGCACAAAAGCCAGCACTATTGAGTAAAATATTGTGTTCTCCAACTTTTCCTCTGAAATGTGTGTATTTGATTATAGTGTTTTAACTAAATTTGATATAATTAATAAAATTAAAGAGTTTGGAATACAGAAATTTTAAATTGTATGTCTGCTATTGGTCACTTCACAAATCTGAATACAAACATACATCTAGACTTCAGCAAATACTGTCAATCCTTCCCTTGTTTATTTCAATACAGACAATCAACAAAAAATACTTATAATTTCCCCAAGTATTTTGTCTTCTGACCTTGTTTTGATGTTCATATTAGAAATGTACAGTAAGTGCTAACAGTGGATATAATGCATTTTGCCACAGAAACCACATTACATGTTTGAGGCTATGTGACAGAGTCCTATAATTGAATTGTAGCAATTTAATACAACTATCCTGGTGTCAATCAGGCTATGACAAACACAAGCACAAGGTTCCTCCAAAGTTGTATCTGTCAGTGAATATACAGTTATCAATAACTTCATGTACTGATAATTGAATAGACAAACAATGGAATGAATTTTTTCAATGAAAGTTTATAAAAATTTATCAATTCTAAGAATATGCTTTCATTGATGGAAGAAGCATTTGCTTATTACCCATGAGACTTTGCAGGTTTATTTCAATCTTTTACTGCCATGCAATGTGAAATTCATACTTCATGGAATTCACCAAATTGGCGCATAGTTTGTACCTACTATGATAATGAGAAGTACAGATCTTATTGACACAAATGACTGCTTTTATGATACAAGATTTGCAGAGCAGGGGCAAGGTCAAGGGTCATGAAAGGTGTGTCTAGCAGCCTGTGCTGTATACCTAAAGGTAGTACAAATGTTCCATAGTATGTAGGTGGAAAAAAAAAAAAAAACAGTAGCACACTTTTATTAATATAAGACAACAGAGGGCGCTATACAAGAAATATATATGTATGAGCATTTTACCAGCTGTAGCATTGAATTTTTTTTTCAACAGTTGTCAACAAGTGATGATTTGTTTATTTACACAGCAGTTAGTCAAAAGTCAAAAAGTTTTGAGGGAATACTTCTCTAATCAATGGTATATACCAATACCACCTATCATTTATTACCAGTAGTTTTCCATTACAACAAAATGCAACGTTACTAATTTGAAATTGACTAATTTTTTATACCACGTCTCGTAGCTGTTTTAATATTCTATTGAAAAGCATAAATTAAGTTGATATGTTTATTATTTTCAATGAATTGTCAAAAACTAGTTTTCAGTATTCACCGATTTACTTCTTCAGTGAAAATAAAGTAATCTATGGTATGGGAAATCTCAATGATACACTAGTATCTCTCGTGTAAGTATTCTGCATTTTTGGTTGTTGATTTAACTATAAATGATTCAATAATTTAATCGTTTCAAAAGCAAAACAAAAAGTTTCAGATCAAATAATTTGACACATACATCCATTTTATTAGATTGTGTAGCATGTTCAATCAAATCCATGAATGCACAACAGTTGGATACATTCAATTTTTTTTTAAATGGTCCCCAGTCGGCAAATAACGTACATTTATAACATTCAAGTTCCATGTTGATTCAAACAATACGTCTTGGGCATAATTCAACTTGGCATGTGCATTTTAAGCAATGAATCCATTTTTGGTCATGTGATAGTGTGGGTACATGTACATTTATTCCTGCAATTCCATGTCTCTGTCTTTATGTAGATTGAAAAACCGCTACAGCTGTATTCATATGCAAATGTTGAACAGTTTTGTGGTTGTATTTGTTTCTGAATTCATATGCTAGCATAAATGGCACACAACTTGTAAATCAATATTTTATTCGCTACAAAAGTGCTTGTAAATCAGACCTTGCACCATGCCTAAGACAAGGTGCAACATGGGAATTGACACGTAAAATTATTGAAAAAGTTGGCCAAGGGCAAAGTTCAAACCCACATCAACCACATCAGGTGGGATATTGCAGATTCAAATGCATTAATGTCATGCATTGAATTATCAAAGAGCAAATGCATTTATGTATTAACCTCAAGTGCTCACTGTACAATATAATTGCTTGCTGAATCTTTCAACTTTCATTCTGGTAAAAATTGGTCATCTATTCTTGCATTGAAAAATTAAGTTTGTGCAAACAACCTGAATGAGTAATTTATGCCTCAGATACGATATGGCACAACCTTGTTTGAAAACAACAATGGCCGTCAGTTGGCCATATTTGATTAGAACATAGTATTTATTTTGGCCTTGTGAAAAGAACAGAACAGAACAGGTTCCATGTAATGGAAAACATCTATACAACTACATAATAATTGGCATATAGAAAAATTTGCATACACTGTAATTATAGAAAAATCCAAATTTTATTGATCAAACTAATCAATAGATTTCTAACCCAGTATTAAAATTTCAACAAAGAAATAAATATACAAATACACTGGGCACAGAAGATCTATAATTCAGAGATAATAAAACACCGACTGAAAGGACTGGACATGCATCTAAACGTTTCCTCAGATTCATGATCAATGTGTGCTAAAAATAGAACCCTAGCTTGGGAAAAAGAAATACCTTTATGAGGGGAGATGCTTTCCAAATAAGTTAATTATAGTTTTCAGTGAAACTTAATTTATCAGCCAAAAAAGAAAATTGGCCACCAGGTTTTGAATATGTTTTTGGGAATCCAATAGCACTTCACTTTATTAGAAGCATGTGATTTATTATGGGAATAAAAGCACACATTATATATATGGAATTGCATCACATTATTTAGGTGTCAGCAGGTACTGGATTGGTCAGCTTTTGATTTCACTAAAACCAAAGATCGGAACTACCCGAGTACAAGTGTACAAAGTAGAATTGCACTCAAAATAAATATGTTAAACAAATAGCTTACATGTGCTTCTAATAAAGGAAACTGTAGAATAAAGTGAAACGAATTAAGAACATACCCATCAAGAATTCATTACTATTAAGTTGACAATCCATTGATTAGTGATGACAGAGAGCTGTCATACTCAAATGCCTTCTGTTCTTGCAAGTCTACAAAAAAAAAAAAGCTGTAAATTGTACCCGCCTGATGAAGCAGTGAATGAATTCATAGCAACCCCCCGTTCCCACAAAAACTTTTGATATATTAGACAATAAAGAAACTCTCAATTCAAAGAAATGCTACTTTAAAAATATTTACAACAAAGAGGGTACTGTATCTGTATATATAATATTACACAGGACTGATGACCATGGAAGCGCGTTGTTGAACAACATTATTGTTTTTCACAGTCCTGAAAAAAGGATTTTGAACAAATTGCTAATCCATGACCAATCACCAAATATTGTACATGTATTTCAAAAATATTAAATAATTATTAAAAGAGTTAACTATCTAGAATGTCCTTTTTTCCTTTCCGGTGTACACTTTGGACAGTACCATTTGCCTTTAGGTTTTGATGTGAGTCCAACACAGTTAAAGTGAAACCACTCAATTACACATTCATCGTTATCGCAACCAATCATTTCACCGTATGAAACTTGATTACATAAACAATATGTAGGTTCATTTGGATCAATTACGATCTCTGGGGGTGACGCTTCACGTTCACGCTCCTTTGCTTTGGATCGCTTTTTCTTTTTCGCCACTTTCTTTTCACTTCCAACAGCTGCAACAGAAACATCTTTATCCTTTTCTTTGTGATCATGATTTCGTTGACGCCGTGATCTTTTTCCAGTCCGTTCATGGTGGTGTTCGGTCTTGGCTTCCACATGATTACCTTTTTCATTACCGCTTTCAAGTTGATCAAAGTCCAACTCTAATTTTCGAGTACTATTTTCTACCAGATCAGCCATTTGTGAACATAGTTGGAGTTTTTCATCTCCTAATTCTTGACTCCGCACCAATGCTCTTTGTAATTGTATCAAGTATCGTTTTTTAGCAAGTCCATCTATATCTTTTTTCTGGTACATGCTGTAAAAGTAGTCCATCTCATTCAACACGCCTAAATGAAAATAAAATGAATGTAAAAACTGTAAGTACCTGTTACTGTGCAATTCATAAACGCATGAATTCATTTCAAAGAAACCTTATAAATTTATTTCAGCAAACATATCACTATAATTTCAATGAACAATTTTGATGAGATTTCCATGCATCTTTTTGGTTCATGCAAAAACACTAGTGTCTTTGATTTATGGCAGTAAATCTGCGAACAATTGAAAAAAACCTGCAAATAATCACTAGTAATGGGCATTACCAAATGGTTTCTATAATCGATAAAAGCATCTTCTTTGGATTTGGATGAAGCACGACGATCTTTCGGGACAAATGTTTGATAAATATTTAAGTTTGTTCATAAAACAAACCCAGTGTAAATGAATAGATTAATTCTGATTACTAGTTTATTGCATTGATAACCCACAACAAATGAACAGCTGATGAAGATCACACCCCCTCATTACTATGCAAATTTATATTCACAACTACTGAATATTCATTAACTATACCACTTCCTGTGCATAGGGAATCGTAGACTACATATTCAGCGTGTTAGTAACATGCATTCCCCTAACTACAAAATTGATTATGCTCTGCTATGTTGGGTATTAATTTACCAAAGTTTGTAAGCAATTTTACGAAAGCGTGGTTTGTTGCTGCTCTTAAAAGAGAACGATCACAAATAAAGTTGAATCTCGTAGCGAATCGACCAGTATTCGTAAGCAGTGGCACCGGTGGCAACCGTACCCACTTTCAGCATTGTTGGCCGCCAATTCAATGACAGAAAACTATCCATTACAAAAATAGAGCTTAACAATTACTCGATTTTTCATTTTAGAGCCTCGGATGGAATTAAGTAATAACGAAACAACTGCTGTCAGATTTGTGCGGGAAAAGCGACTGCTTTAAAATCTGACAACATTCTAAGCAAACTCGCTTGTGGCGGCAGCCATTTTGATTCAATTGCCGCTGCGACTTCAAAACAACAACGCAACATAAACAGTAAAACTTGTATACAAGACCCAAACTCACGAGTTACGGTCTCACTGGCACTGCAGTCACACGTGTAACGTGCACACGCAAGAATATGCCAAAGAAATAACATTTTTCCTAAGTACGACAATTTCCCACCTCTGTACTGGCAGTCGATCTCTCGCATCTGGGAGATGTTTCGCTGGAGGTCATTTGGAAGCGATTCGACACAATCCAAATAATCCTCGACGTAAGCAGTCTGACACTGGAGTTCTTGGTTATGTTGACTCAACATCATTTCAAGTTTGGACATCCTTGCAGCCCATCAAGTAGCAAATAATCTTCACGTAAACACGGGTGACAACTTGCCAGCAGATCAGAAACGTGAATGGATTGAGTTTTGCATTTTGCACATGCGCACTCAATAGTAAATAACTGTTTACTGTATCATTAGCGCTTCTCCCATATATGGAATAGTTGGGAAAACACATTTATAAAGGGGTCGGTATTACAAAATAAGGTCAAATTGCATTTTATCTCACAGTAAAATGAAGATTTAAAGGCCAGAAAACATAATATAAACATTCTAATAGTGAAAAAAGAGTTACAAAATATAGAAATATTTTCTGCTTGTAGAATACAACAATAAATTACAAATTTGTATTACCTATATAAAAAATAGAATAGCCCACAAAACGAACTTCCACGGTGAGGGCGCTTATTATACCATCAGCTGTTCCGACTGCAGGTACTGCTGATATATCCCGAAACGTGGTCGAAACAGGTTTGTAGAACCAGGGAGCTGGTAGAACGTACAAACACAACAAAGTATCTATGGCAGTCAGATCTTCTTGTAGTGGAATCGTTAACAGACTTATACACAGACACTTTCAAAATACGCTATCACAAAGTGTTTACCCGAAGTTTGCTCTGTCGACAACGTGCTCCAAATATCGAAAAAAGAAGGTAGCGGAACCAAAAGACTGTGAAGACATCGACACAGGACAAAACAATGACGCCAGTCCTTGGGCTGAACCCGAGGGTTATAACACGGGTGTAGACGTTTATAATTCACTGACGAGAACTAAAGTACCTCTGATACTCCAAAAAGACAATATTGCAAAATGGTAGGTTTACACATGTACTATACTCTCAAGCGAAGATCCTGGCATAATTATAGAACTTGCCAATTATATTTACACAACACAAAGATTTATTTAACGTTTAAATACTAGTTACGTTTTTTATAATATTTTTACATATATCTTGTTATTATTTTAAAACTCTTTTTTGGTGTACTTATACTTGTCCCATATAAATCTTTTTACACGGAGGCAATAACGTTATTATTATTATCAGTTCAGACTCAAATATTAATGATGACAAGTCTGAGGTTCAGTGCGTTGTTGTAATTATAATCATAGTCCCTCTATAAACTCCCATCTAACTCAGATGCTGATGGCAAATCTACTTACCTCGCCCTCACAGATCTGGTTTTTGACAATTCTGTAATAAGATTATGTTCTTGATCAGTAATTTTAAATGAAGACACATCTCTTAAAGTCATAATTTATGCAAGGACTGTGGGACCAGTGGACCGTCTGCAAAGACAGTAATAATAAAACTATATTAGCTCATAATTCAAAAAATACATGGTATTCATTTATTCAACACTTTTGCCAAATTTACTCTGATTTACAGTAAATGTTGTGAAGCAAAGTTATGTCCCTCTATAGAGGGACTGTGTTATAATACACAGCTTTGAATGTTATTGTCTATCGTTTGTCGAAATACCGTAGAAATTAAACAATAACATAATGTAAACACAGAAGCATGTGTTGAGCACTGATGGGGGCTCCCATGTTCATCACACCCAAGTCAAGCAATCAGACAATGAATAGAAAAACTAATCAATTAATTCACAGACTGACTAATTTATATTAGAATTTCTAAAAACATAGTTCTTGTAATTTTGTGAACATGCAAGATCATAATATTTGCATTCTATCATCTTGACTTTCCAACTATCTTTTTTCGACTTACCTGCCTACTTTTATGATTCAAACCAACTTTTTTTGATTTTTTACCTAACTTTTAGTGCTGTTCAGCCAATCTTTTTGACTTTTCCAACAATGATGACTTTTCAACCAACTTTTACAACTTTCCATGCAACTTGATGATTTTTTTTATGCAATGACTCTGCAGCAAATTTTGATTTATATTCCCAACAAATTAGCCATGATTTAGGGAAGACGTAAACACTCGTGGATAATTGGTATTACCACAGTCCTTCTCTAGCAAATAAAAAAAAAATCTTCGAATTTGAAGGTAATAGCAGGGTAAATGTTTTATCAATTTCCATAAAAAAATAGTCTTCTGAAAAATCTGATACTTGCAGTATTTTAATATGCTGTTTTATTTCTTTTGAAGGTATATGTGTGGACCAACAGTGTACGACAGTGCTCACATTGGACATGCAAGGTAAGAAAACATCTATTAAACTTGACATTTATGGTATCATCAATGATACATATTCAATTATTCAGTTCATCTTTATTGTTTTGCAGCTGTTACGTTAGATTTGATGTCCTTCGGCGAATTCTGACTGAATTCTTTGATATTGATGTTGTCATGGTGATGGGTGTAACAAATATTGATGATAAAATAATCAATCGTGCACGTGAAAAGGATGTAGATTTCAAACAGTTAGCAAGAATTTATGAAAATGAATTTGCCTCGGACATGCAAGCATTAAAGGTAGGTGCAATCTGTCGTTGATAAATGTGATCAGCAGCTGTTTCTTTATCCACATAGCAAGTCTTGTACACCCTAGGCCACATGGCCAGTCTGGTACACCTTTGGCCACATGGCCAGTCTGGTACACCTTTGGCCACATGGCCAGTCTGGTACACCTTTGGACACATGGCCAGTCTGGTACACCTTCGGCCACATGGCCAGTCTGGTACACCTTCGGCCACATGGCCAGTCTGGTACACCTTCGGCCACATGGCCAGTCTGGTACACCTTCGGCCACATGGCCAGTCTGGTACACCTTCGGCCACATGGCCAGTCTGGTACACCTTCGGCCACATGGCCAGTCTGGTACACCTTCGGCCACATGGCCAGTCTGGTACACCTTCGGCCACATGGCCAGTCTGGTACACCTTCGGCCACATGGCCAGTCTGGTACACCTTCGGCCACATGGCCAGTCTGGTACACCTTAGGCCACATGGCCAGTCTGGTACACCTTAGGCCACATAGTCAGTCTGGTACACCTTAGGTCACATAGTCAGTCTGGTACACCTTAGACAAACACATTAGTTTTAGGTTGTTCAATGAATATGGGTGTATACAAAGTTGACACTCAGGAGTAATTGCATGAGAACGTTTTCTATTATCCATGTATTAGCATGGGACAAACATTGCAACAGGTTGTGTTGTTGTTGACCACATTGACAGGTTTTATTCAGTTATTTCTCACTGCTATCATCGCTTACTTTCACAGTTATGCACATTTTAAACTCAATACAAACAGTTAAGAGACAAAGCACGCAGCGACACGTACCATGATGATGTCAGCATGGTATAGTTTTATCATAATGATCTACTTAACCATTACAATGCAGGTTCTTCCAGCCACAGTTTATACCAGAGTTACGGACTATATACCTCAAATCTTAGTATTTGTTCAGAATATAATAGATACTGGATGTGCATATTCTACTCCCAGTGGTAGGTATTAAAATCATTTATTACCATTGCGACATTGGGATACATCATTGCTGTGAATTATCGTATGATAATAGAAAATTATTATACAGTATGGTGTTTCATGGGCCCTGACGATTTTTACTTTAAATTCAGCAACAAAAAATAAATTCCGGTGAAATAAAAAATAAAAGTATAATGCTATATTAAAACGAACTACAGGAAATCATTCAAATGTTAAACATTTGATGGAATCTACTCAGTGTATCATCCGTGTCTTAGCATAGACTGGTATGCATATGCATGTTCGAGGGCCACGTCTTTCTACACTATGCATCAACCGGCGCACCAGTCGTGTTTTGGATGTTAAACAAGCCAAAATATATATCATAATAACGATTACAACTGTGCAAATTTGGATTGAGAGTCAATGCTACGCTTGATTATGTGCTCGGCTGTGGCTCGCACCATCTCGCATAGAATCAACTCCTCATCCTGAATCCATTTCAGTTTATTATTGTTGTATTAATGACTAACTTTCAGCATATTTGTGTATTGTTCATTCCTGCCCCAAAACTAAAATGAAATTTTATCATTATTTTGGTCCATACGAACAGTTTCAGATATTGCTTTTAGTTTTTGGGTTTGTCATTTTTATCAACATTTCATGTGAAGAGCAGTTTGTACACAATCATTTCGTTGTTGGTGCCAAAAGTTGACATTGGCAATCAAAGGGTTAAACTAGTACACTGTATAATTAACTAATTAAGCAATAACCTCTGTTGGGTATATTTATTTATAATTAGCAATTTCACAAAAATGTGACATATGTGAACGAGCATAGATAAGTATCTTATTCTGTTGTGTCTCACAAATAATCGATTGTTGATATCCCATAATACAGTGTCAGTGTTTTAACCAATGACAATGGTTCAATTAAACATGTGACATCATAGTACATGTATAATACAACATTTGAATATTATTGGTTTGACCCAGAATCATTTTAGATTGAGATAAGTCCTTGTATTTCACAGGTAGTGTTTACTTTGATGTGGAAGCATTTGGTATAGAGAGGTATGCAAAACTAATGCCTCATGTTCGGCACGACCACGGCAGGCATATTGTAGAACCTGAGAAGAGACATCTCAGAGATTTTGCTCTCTGGAAAGCTGCTAAGCCAGGAGAGCCATGGTGGTCGTCTCCATGGGGACAAGGAAAGGGACGTCCAGGATGGCACATAGAATGCTCTACCATGTCCAGGTATATATACTAGTAATTTGTATTATGCGATTTTTTTTTTCCCATTCAAGCCCTTAAAAGGCTGTGTGAGGTTCCAGGGTGATAGTACTTTTTCATTATATACAAGGAGGTTACCTCCCATAATGCATTGCATATATGTGCAATTACATTCTCAGTAGTGCAAAATTTTGAATTCTGCTAAAACTGCCTTAAACTGAAAATTAAACATTAATGTAGAAATTATTTTTAGCCAATGCCACCTAGATAATTTAGACAATGATAAAATAATGTTCTTCTGAAAACTGATGACAAAACAAAGAGCAACTGAAAATTCGTCCCAAGATTCCAGACTCTCTGATATATATTCCTAGAATCATGAAGAATTGTATTTTAGTTTTCAATTCGTTAGAAATGTTCTAACATTTTTAAATGTCAGAATTCTATATGAAATATTTTATTTACAGTCTATGACACTATTATTGATATGACATTCTCTCTTTACCGTGGCAACCTTTATAACAGATGTAGTGATAAATTAAATGTAGTGAAGAGTAAAAAACAAATTAAAGTGAATCTTTAAAATTTGACAAACATTTTATTATTTAAAGTAAGCAATTCATTTTTAACCATAGACACCACTAGTATATATATATATTATAATAGTTTAACCCAAATTACTTTGTTTTTCAGTGCAATATTTGGAAACGCGTTAGATATCCATACTGGCGGTATAGATCTGGCATTCCCACACCATGACAATGAGATAGCACAGTGTGAGGCCTGTCATCAAACTCATCAATGGACCAATTATTTCCTGCACTCTGGTAAGATATATATCACCTTTAGTGTGACAAATATTGCATGTGATATGATTTGGTTGTGGTAACATCAATATTAGGTGTGTGTGGTTTGACAGTACACCATCAAAAACAAAATAATTAGAAAATGATATTATGCTGCCATTCATGCTCATTTCAAGTAACTGAATGAAAGTTTTTGTTTTGACTAGATCAGAATAGAATAGAATAGAATAGAATAAAATAGACAGACCTAGAATAGAATAGAATAGAATAGACAGAACTAGAATAGAATAGACAGAACTAGAATAGAATAAAATAGACAGAACTAGAATACTGTGGAATACTTTATTTTCGCTGGAATTAATTTCGCTGAA